GGCAGTGCTGGTCAGCTGCATCAGGGCAGGGAACCACGTCTGGTTTGTCCAGAGCGGAGCTACGAGCAGCACTGGGCATCCGTTCTCCCTGATTCGTTCCAACACCTGAGGCAGGAGCGAGACAGGAGGAAAAGCATATAGGGGGCAGCGGGGCCAAACATGAGCCAGCACGTCCTTGCTTTTCGAGAAAGACTCCGGGCAATGAGCGTTTTCGTGGGACGCGAATAGGTCCACCTGTGCTCTGCCGAACGTTTTCCACAGCAGCTGGACCGTCTGCGGGTGCAGCGACCATTCCCCTGCTGGAACATTGTTCCTGGACAGTCTGTCTGGTCCCACATTCAGGTGACCAGGCACGTGCACTGCTCTCAGAGAGAGCAGGTTGTGCTGAGCCCAGACCAGGAGGCGTTCCGTCAGCCTGTGAAGGTTTCGTGACCTGACGCCGCCCTGGCGATTTATGTATGCCACCACTGACATGTTGTCCGACCGGACCAAGACGTGGTGGCCTGTTACCTGGGGACAAAAACGCCGTAGCGCTTTGTTGACTGCTATCATCTCCAAGCAGTTTATGTGAAGGAGCTTTTCCCGTTCTGACCACAGGCCAGCTAGCGGTCTGCCCTCGAGCAGCGCTCCCCACCCCGAGGTGGAGGCGTCCGTAGACACCACCTCCACACTCGAAGCGGTCCCCAGACTCACACCTGACTGATACCAGTCGGTTATTTTCCAGGGTTCCAGAGCTGAAACACACTGAAGGTCGACCCTGAGGCGAAACAGACCCGCTGTCCATGCCCTGGGTGGAACCCGCGCTTTCAGCCACATCTGCAGTGGGCGCATGCGGAGCAAGCCCAACTGGAGTACAGAGGCTGCTGAGGCCATCAGCCCCAGCATTTTCTGAAACCTTTTGAGCAGAACTATCGCGCCGTGGCGGAAGGATTTCGCGCCGCGCTGAATATTTAGCCCGCGCTCTGGTGACAGGCGTGCTGTCATGGACAGCGAGTCCAACACGGTTCCCAGAAAGGAAATTTTCTGACTGGGAGACAGTGAGCTCTTCGCCCAATTGACTGTGAGGCCCAGCTCCTCGAGGTGCTCGAGTAATGCGGCTCTGTGTTCTATGAGCTCCGATCGTGATCGAGCTAGAATCAGCCAATCGTCCAAGTAGTTCAGGACTCGCATGCCCTGAAGTCTCAGGGGTGCGAGCGCCGCGTCCATGCACTTCGTGAATGTACGAGGTGCTAGGGACAGGCCGAACGGCAGGACTGTGTATTGATATGCCTGGCCCTCGAAAGCGAATCTCAAGAATCGCCTGTGATGGGACACTATTTGTATTTGGAAATAGGCGTCTTTCAGATCTATTGACATAAACCAGTCCCCGTGGCGCACTTGCGCGAGGATTTTCCTGGTCGTAAGCATTCTGAACTGGCGCTTCACAAGCGCTCTGTTCAGCTGTCGCAGATCTAAAATGGGTCTGAGACCTCCATCTTTTTTCGGTACCAGAAAATATCTGCTGTGTAGGCCCCCTTTGCTCTGAGCTTGAGATAAAGGTTCTATAGCACCTTTGCTCAGTAGTTTCGCTACCTCGGCTCGAAGTAGATGAGATACTTCGTTTTCCACCGTCGTCTCGATGCGCGGGACGTCGAGCGAACTGTAGCGAATAGCCTCTTTTTATAGTGTTCAGCACCCATTCTGATACCCCAGGAAGCTGTGCCCACACTTTCGCGTGAATAGCTAGGGGTAGAATGAGATCTGGGCTCTGGCCGAGACATAGTGACGGCAAGAGAGCTCCGGCGTGCTGTAACGCAGACACTGTGTTTACAGTGTGTGAGGCGGGGGGCGCGCCGATCGCGGCGGGCAGCCTGGCCGCGCTCAAAACCCTTATAGCAGTTTGCTGAGGGAGAGAGAGCGGGGCGAGCCCCGTGGGGCTTAACATGTCTGTGAGTGAATGTGGGCGCAGGACAGCGGGCACATTTACTGCACTGAAAAACACCGTCGGCCTGAGCTGACTGAATGCGTGTTGGTTTCGTTTTCACAGAACCCGTGGGACATGTGGTGTGTAGTGTTTGTGGGCACTGAGACGTAGGCACATTCACTACATTTAGTGCACAATCCACATGAGTTGATTTTGTTTGTGCGAGCCCTGCATTTTTGCGGGCTGTGTTTGTGTGTAGAAATGAGCCCTGGGTTGTGGGCATTTTCAATACACTCATAACACCATCGGCTGTGGCCGGAATACCAGAAAATACACCATTTATGTGATTTATCTGGGTCGCCGTGGGAACAGCATTTGTGTGCAGGCAAGCGGGCATGGTACTGGCTTGCTTACTGCAAAATACACTGGAACAGTCACATTTTCTGGAACTGAACGAGCGAAAATTTCAGTGGAAGTCTGGCCACGGCGAGACTGAAACACCGTCGATTTCCTAGGAGGCTAGGAAGACTTGTGTTGGTTTCGTTTTACAGAAACCGTGGTAGTGTTTGTGGGCACTGGGTTGTGGGCACATTCACTACATTTAATGCACAATTGACATGCGTCGATTTCATTTGTGCGAGCCCTGTACCGTGGCGGGCTGTGTTTGTGTGTAGAAATGAACACTGGGCTGTGAGCATTTTATTACACTTATAACACCATCGGCTGTGGCCAGAAATACAATGATCACATGATTTTTCTAGGTCGCCGTGGAATCGGCCTTTATGTGCAGGCAAACGGGCCGTGGTACCAGCTTGTTTACTGCAAAAAACACTGGAACAGTCGCATTTTCTGGAACTGAACGAGCGAAAAGTTTTTGGTGGAAGTCTAGTCGCGGCGAGACTAAATTTTTTATCTGCTGCGAGAGCCGGGATCGAACACGGGTCTCTCATGTGAAAGCTTAGGGTTCCGCCACTGGGCCACAGGGAGAACTACACTAGCACAAGCAGATAAGAGAGTGTCATCACAGTTTTGTGTGTGTCGGCGTTTGTATGCAGGTGTGCGTGTCATACAACAGGCTCATTGCTGCAATAATGACATTTTCAGCCGCTCAAACTAGGAGCTGAGAAATGTTTAAGAAATGGAGATTAGTCCGGCCTCGGCGGGGACTAAAAACACTCTTTTCTTATTTGCCGGTGACACACGCCCATTGGGGGGCGGGGTAGATTTCTTATAACGTAAAGAAAGCTAGCCGCGGTTTTAGGGCTCGCGGTCTTGATGCTGGCCCGTTTCCTTGACGACTCGCGGACAGAAGGCGGAGGTCCACAGAGCTCGCCTGTTGCGCGGCGGTTGCGCGGGCGCCTCCCAATCGAGGCCGATGCTTCCCACGGCCTGAGAGAGCAGACGCATCAGCTCAGTCTCAATGCCGGCTCTCTTACCAGTGGGCTGGCGGGAAACGCTAGCGGAGGGGAGATCTACGGAGCTCGCCCAATCCTCACTATCGGATGCCAGAAGAGAACACGCCTCGGTGGGTTCGTCAAACTCGTGGATGGACGCGGCGGCAGGCGGCGGCCGTTGTCCGTCAGTGAGCGACTCGAGCGAAACCGGCGAAGCTGGCGGGCGAACCGGCGAGCTTTGGCGGGCTGGAGAAAGCTCGGGAGCGCGCTGGGCGCGGCGCTTCTTGCGGCGCGGCACCACGGCGGGCTGCGGTGAAGGCTCGGAGAATGATGCCAGGCGAGTCCTCAGAGTCACCATGGGCAACAGCTCGCAATGAGGGCATCCGCCGTCAGCGAGCGCGAGAGCCGCGTGATCCTCACCCAGGCAGGAAACACAGATGACGTGCCGGTCTCCATCGCTGAGCGGGGCGCGGCACGAGCCACAGGAAGGCATCTTTAAAAAGACGCAGCTCTTTTTGTGAGAGAAGTGTGAGTCGCGTCAAGTAAGCGAGCGCACACTCTCAACAGAGTAAATACACACAGAGTATGAAAAGGATATAGAACGCCGGAAAGCGCAGCAGGTACGGCAGTTGAAGGCGGCGAGGCCAGCGACTCCAGAGCTCGTCCCGCTGAAAGGCTTGCTTCGACGGCGCGGCTTCTCACTCCGGATCCAGCGATGCGTGTGCTTCGCTGAAGAGGTAAAAATCAGCTTGTATCAGCCTAACGAGCATATTTATAGGGTGAGGCCACGCCCCTTCTGGCGGGACGTGACGATATGGGCGCGAATTGCCCCCATTGGTCATTACGTCACGCAGAGTCTCTCTCGATAGGCTGCTGCATTTGCTGCAGAGCAACCAATAGGCGCGCGAGCTGTTTCGCCTAGGTCTGCTTGCTGCTGCAAAGCGTTTTACATTAATAAAAAATTAAGGATAATTTTTGGCTTCAATATCTCGCGGAAAAGAGTTTTTCCCCTAGCGTAAAGCTATTACGCAGTACGAGAGATACTCTCGTAAGAGAACTCCGAACATTATACTTTTAAAAACATTTTAAAGTCAACTCTGACTGAACAATGTAATTGCTTTTAACTAGGTGCCCTTTAAATTCTATATCTGTATTTGCTTATGTTAAGTAGGTATAATGTCTTGTTTGTGTATGTATAGATATCTGTGGTGTAATAATCTTTGTCCTGTTTTTATTTTTTGCAACTTTTTGGCCGCCTGTCTTGGCCAGGACTCCCTGGGAGAAGAGTTACTGTAACTCAATGAGACTTTTAAATAAAGGTTAAATAAAATAAATAAAATAAAACGGGTTTCTCAATAACTTTCCATCCTCCTCCCCAAATGGTCACAAATGCCTAAAGCCTGTAAAATAAATTATATATGATTTTCTTTCTTCTGCAGTACAATACCTTTTACTTTCTTCAAGAACATTTCTATGTTCTACTGAGGAAAAAAGTCTTGGCAGGATTTGAATGGCATGAGGGCGAGTGAATGATCTTTACGTGAACTATGAAGGTTGGTTAGACCTACACAGTGCTAGTAATTTCCTAATCAAACTTTAATTTATTGTTAAGTGGCAAGTAAATTGTGTAATCTTTTCTGCTTCTCCACTTTCATTTTCCCATAAAGACCCTCCCCTTCTGGGAAGCTATAAAATGAGCACCGAAATAGGCATGATGTTTCATTCTCCTCCTGATCAAAGATGGATCTGCAAATCTCAGTTTTTCTTCTGTTCATTCTCTTCACTGCAGGTACGAAGACAAATAGTGTTTGTGATGTTACTGGGTACAAATACAGATAATTGATGTCTCTGTCTCTCTGTTTTATTCCTAAAGGACACTCTCTCAGCTGTTATGAGTGCTCGGGTCTGACGGGTTCTTGTGCGGATCAGAAGTTAAAAACATGTCCCAGTGGATCTTCTCAGTGCTTGAGTTTAACAACAGTAGTACAAGCTGGTAAGTCCAATATGATTGAAATATACAGTTATTTGACTGATGGAGATGGTGCTATAATTTACTGGTGCTGCAACAAAACGGCTACTCCTTTTTCTGGTGGAATATTATATGCAGAATATTCTACATATATTTCTGATATTTCTATTTTTGTATTTAAAAAATGGTTTGAAATGAGAAAAATGCAAAATTTTGACATTTATAAATACATTTACCATTAAACTAATATGCAGTTCAACTGGTCATTCCTGTATCATTCATATATTTAGGTGGCATTACTACTAAAGGGAAGGTTAAAGATTGTGCTGTTGCCTGTCAGAGTGGGTCCATGAATTTTGGCATTTCAAAGGTCTCTACTTCCTGCTGTAACACAGACCAGTGTAACACTCAAGATGTTCCAGGTATTGTACTTCAATGATTATACAAATATCTTCTTTAAAGTCAACACTCAATTTCCCATATGAGATTCAATCAGATAATAAAAAGCAGGGTGTGGCTTGTCTGTGGTGAACTGATTGAATAGAGCTGCAAAAAGAGTGTTGTTTCATTAGATATTTTGTACATAAAATAAATTAAAAGGATACTTATTTTCCTCCTGTAGATCCCCCTAACACCCCCAATGGAAAGCAATGTTTCTCTTGTGATGAAAAGAGCTGCTCAAACACACTGAGCTGTTCAGGGACTGAAGATCGCTGCTTTAAAGCAACAGGTGAGAATCTCTCTAAAAAACGGAAAAAAATTAAAGTCATTATCTTTTAAACTGTCTTACGTTTAAACATTTGATAAAGGTCATATAAATATCCAGCTTAGACTGAATCAACCTTTGTTTTCTCTTTCGTTTCATCAGGGACTTTTGGAGGCCAGTCATTGGTTATAAAAGGCTGTGTGTCTAAATCTATTTGTGACGCCTCATCAGTTAGCAATGTTGAGGGCGTCTCATGTTGTGAGGGGAACCTGTGTAACGGGGCTCAGAGTGTCACCCAGAGCGTCCTGTTCCTCTGCTGTTCTCTGCTCTCCTACTTCCTGATGCACTGAATACAGCAGATCTTCACATTCTACAATCAGACACACTGCACTGAATATACAACTTGTATTTCTTTGTACTACCATTGATGTTCTGATTTTTTTTTTTTTTTTGATTGCTGTAGAACTCTGATGTGACATTTTATGAAATAAAACAGTACATCACCTTTTTCCTGCAGTTAAATTTATTAAAGCATGTCATGCTGTAAATAATTATGATAAAACCACAATAATAAAAAAATCTTATTTCTTAAAGGGTCTTAAATTTATTAGTTCATTAAAATCATTTACTCACCCTGGTGCTGTTCTAATGCAGTATGCCCTTCTTTCTTTTTCGGACAACAAAAGGAGATATGTCCACTTCTACTCGTTCATATAATGGCAGTCAAAAGCAGCAGCATGACCAGCATTATGAAGGTATTATGATGCCATAAAGCAGGGGTTCTCAACCTTTTGCAGGCTGTCCCTTTTGTCATTTTAGGTCTCAGAAGGGTGCTCGCGAGTACTCTGTGGTCGATTTGCACCCCGATGCGCACTTTTGCAGAGTCAGTTCACGTAGTGTAATAGCGTATAGTGCTTCTGTGTTGTACGTCACACGTTGGCTTACTATTGGCGGACGCTGGTCATGTGTGTGATGCGTGTAACGCAGGGCCGCCGATTGCTATAGGCGAACTAGGCGATCGCCTAGGGTGGCAAATGTGTTGCCCTCTAGTGTCGCCCTTTGCCTACTTCCCATTAATCATAGAATTAGAATGACAAGCGAAATAAAACATGTTTATTAAACATGATCATCATAAGGCGCCCCTCAGCCACACGTTTAATTACTTGTCAACTTGATTATTAGATTGAATTGATGATTATTGTCGATCATTTCCTAATGGGGGAGGGGCGAGTTGCGTTGCGTTGCGTTAGGTTAGGCAAGGCAAGTGCTGGCGCGTTGATCGAAAATGAAGCGGTCTAAACCCTCTGGTGCACAGGGAAGAAAAAGAGAAAGGAACAAGATAAAAAGAAAGCCCAGTATAGAGGTAAGTCTTCTCATCTCAGCCATTAAGGTGTCAAACGAAATAAATGTACTTAGTATTGTGCAAAGGCATGTACTGGCCATCGGGACTACCGGGAGATTACCGGTGGGCCGACGTGCATCTTGAATACTTTTATATATTTATTTATTTTTTGTCTGAACGGCCCATAAAACTCGTACATCGGCGGCCCATTCGTTTTGTTTTGTTTAATAAGTGGTGCTGGGTTATAACTTGCTTTCAAGTATAGAACAAAACAATAGGTTACTTGCGTAACCCCGGTTCCCTTTCGTTGTCACTCCGAGTTCCTTCGGATGACGACGAATGGGGTTTCGCTTAGAAAGCCTATTCGACTTCGAGTATACAAAACGAGCCAATGGCAAGCAAATGCCATGGGTCTGCGGAATTTGCATGGCGCAACTCCGCCCCACCTCGTGGGAATTAAAGGAGAAAGCCGGCAATATGCAGATATGTTTGCTTCGGAGCCAAGATGTTCTCTTCACTCCTGCAGTCTATTCTCTGACTATCTTCGAGAATCTTCAAGACGAGCAGCTTCCAGTCGGTGTTGGTGTGATGGCGTGTTCCAGCGAGTTTCACATTCCTGCCTGCTGATCTGAACAGCGTGTGTGCTTCTCCCTGGGCGCTTCAGCACTGCTGCAAGCATTTATCTCACAAAAAGAGCGTGCACGCGGCGCGTCTTTCTAAAGACGATCTGCCCGTGTATTTCTGCAGTGCGGTAGTCTGATAGATTCAGCTGATGGGCACGAGCGCTGTTTTGACGTGTTTGGGCTTCGATCACGTTCGAGCAGCGTTCGCGGATGTGTCACGTTCTCTACGGGGAACATGACCATCGCAATGACGGTCAAGACTCAATGAGCTCAACCGAGTGAGAGTCCCCTCATCCACACCCCGATCTATTTTCTCCACGTGAGAGAATATTTTGGCTGTTGGCCATGGTGACCTGAGACGGGTGGTGTGGAACTAAACCGCCGATTACTATCCGTGGTCCACACCCCTCTCTTTAACATTGCAACCCGCGCGGTTCTGAATGATTTAGCTGGTCAGAGCCACGTCCGGAGGACGCCGGCGGGCCGGCATCTCATTCAGTTCCCCGGCTGATGAAATCATGTCTATCGCCGCGTCACAAGGTGAGCTGGAGTCCTTTGGAAGTGAGGGCTCGTCTATGTTGCCACCCTCGGGTGTGCAACATAGCGAGTCTGATCCAGAGTTGACAGCTATGCTTCCCGGGCCGCCGCGAGTATCGGGCATGTGTGGATCACTCTGCCATCAGGGTTCTAAATTAACACCCGCCAACCCGCCAAATGCGGGTTAAAGTTAATTTTGGCGGGTGTTAATAAAAACTTACCAGCCAGTTTGGCCGGTGATGCATAAGGCTCTGTTCTCGGTCATTTATCCCCTGGCCGTACTTCCTACATTTCCCATTAACACTGTGCCGTAATGCTACGTGATGACGTTTCATACGCCCATTGGCTGCGCGCAGTTAGCAGTGAAACCAGCGCGAGAAATGATCATGGAAACGAACGGAGCGTCCGTCCACCAGAAAACACAAGGAAGATGAAGAACGAATGGAGCCAGAGCAGGGAGCATAGACTGAAAGAGGAGGGAGCTAGTAAAGTAAAGTAAAAAGTTAAGATTAAACTAAATGCGGAGGTGGTTGGGACAGACTTCTGGGTTTAAATTTAAATGTCGTTTAACGAGAGATACGTTATTTTTTTAAGTTTAAGGTTTTTGTCATTATTTCTGAACAAGCTTATACATTAGGCAATATACACAACAAGCTTACTATATATCTTAAGGTTTTCTTTTAGTTGAAAACATTAAACAATATGTGTAAACAAAATATATAAACAGCAAAAGCATTTAAGCTCAAGCAGCGCGAACGGGGAAAAAACGCTAAAAAAAGCAGACTGCGCAGTTATCGTACAGAACGGACATACTCGAGTAAGCATGATTATCGTGTTTATATTGTTTCACGTTCATGTTGAGAAAAACAATAATATCCACATGCTCGAGTGAGAAAACGCGCTGCGCTGACACAGACGTTGCAGAGACACGTGTGTGTGTGCAAAGTGAAGTAACAGCACTTTGCGTTTTCTGTTCTTAAACCTGTATCCCTCAACGAAATTTAAAGGAAGCATATGTCTCAAAATCATTTTGCTACCAGAAGATATCATCTCGGATCATGATTCCCTTGGGGTACAGCTGCTGTCCTGCAGTCGTTAATGCAGTGATGGACAGCTGCTTCCTCAGTCGACTGGTGTTTCTTTGTATTTCATGTGATATCTCATAGGCCTATATATTGTGGTGGTGATATTATGATAACTCAGATGAAAATTATAGCCTATTACAAAATGGAATTACTTTTAATCAATTATTAATTAAACTAAGTAATTCCAAACTTCGTGAGGCAGACAACGACATTATGTGATCAAATACAATCCACTTGTTAAACACGCTCCACTCAGTGTATTTAATTATAACTGAAAAAAAAAGAAGAAAACAATTTGAATAGTATTTTATTTTTTGAATTACAGATCGAAAATTTGAATATTCGTGCACATCCCAAATAGATAGATAGATAGATAGATAGATAGATAGATAGATAGATAGATAGATAGATAGATAGATAGATAGATAGATAGATAGATAGATAGATAGATAGAAACCAAACTTGAAATGAAATGTTTGCACTTTCTGTGTTGCATTGTACTTTATATGTGTTTTTCATACCAACAATGTTAATAAAATGATCAAATGCATTCAGTGGCACTCATAATTTCTCTTATTTTCACCGGAAAAAAATTTGGCTAGTGGAAATTCTGATTGGCTGGTTAGAAAGTTACCAGCCACATTGGCTGGTGATCAAAAAAGTTAATTTAGAACCCTGTCTGCCATGTCTCGAGCACTCAAGGCTGATGATTGGTTTTGGGGAGGCGAACCCAAATCCTTTCTACCCGGATGTGCATGAAGAGGTTATGAGATCGTGAGAGTCTCCTTTGACTTTTGCGACTGCTCAGCAGCCTCTTCCACCTTCTCTGCCCTCGTAGAGGCCGCGGCCATGGGTACACTGGGGTCCCCCCCCTGGACTGTTCTGTGGCAGCTCATCTGTGCCCCCACAGCGCCTCCACCTGGCGTGGCGACCCTAAGCACCCCTCCAATGCCTGTAGGTTTTTTGTCTACTCCGGTGGCAAAGACCTATAGAGCAGCGGACAGGCTGCCGTCTCACTGCATGTTATTGCCATCCTTCGGGGTGCTCAATGACATGCACGAGGGTAGGGCTGATTCAGGGCTCATCTAAGAGACTGCCTGCCGCCACCGACCTCGCTCTACGAGTGACGAAGGTGACCGTACGCTCCCTGTGTCAGGTGATGTCCACTTGTGTGGTCAGACATTTCTGGGTTAACCTGGTTGATATACGCGAGGCTGAGTGAACCCGCTTCCTCAACTCCCCCATATCCCAGGCTGACCTTTACGGCGGCGCGGTCGAGGACTCTGCCCAACAGTTCTCGGCCGCCCAGAAGCAGACTGAGGCTACCAAACACGTTCTGACCCCGTGGCCAGCTGCTGCCGCCGGCTCAGACGCCTCAGTCAGCTTGCTGTCAAACGCGCCCTCCTGCGACTTTCGCCCCCTCCCGCCCGGCCCCAGCAGCTCCGGGCCGCGCCGTGGAGGTGGTCGCAGGAAAGCGCCCCAGCCCGTACCAGCCCCGCAGCCTGCCAAATGCCAGGCAAAGCGGCGCTCCGTTACGGGCAGCTCAGAGATGGGTTGCAGTTCTCCAGGAGGTGGTTGCAGGGCCACTCCTTTCCCCGGTGGAGGGCCGGGGGAGAACCTCTTTTTTCCAGAGAGCTGACTTCCCATCTCTAAGCACACAGAGTTCTCGGACGACACGGTGCGCCGCCCCCGGCCGTGCACCCCTCGTCCTCCTCTGTCCCAGAGCCGGAAGACAGTGCGCGCCGTCCCCGGACCATGCCGCTCTCATCCTCCTCTGTCGCCAGACCCCTGGCAGAGTAGACCCCCGTGGAACGTTCGTCCTTCCCTGGTCTCCTCTGTCAGGACTCTGCGGTCTTTGACTGTACCCTCACACCGGG